GAAAGGGATGATGGGTGCGCGCAGTGATAAACGTCAACACGAAACTTCGGTCAGAGCGCAGGGCTCATAACCTGATAAACTCGGGGCTGTGAAGACAAAGATTAGATCCGACTAGAGTCGAAGCAAGATCTTCAGTCAGTAAGGAAAGACTGAAGAGGGAGGACGCAATCTGAAGTCCTTATATACTACAGAGAAGTGTCCATGACTAATCAAAGAGTGGTTAGTCACATGTACCATAGTGCGATGAATAATATGATGGTGAAAGAATTGCGACGTATCGCACCATAGGATGAGTAAGAGATGAGTAAGGCATAGACCTGTCTAGACCATTCTGGAGTAGTACGGATTGTCCTAGACAGTACCAGAAGAGTCCAGAAGCATAGCTATAGTACACGAGCAGAGAGTCCCAAATATGGTAACATACTACATAAGCGACTACATCTGGAAAAACAGCCTTTGCGAATTGACACTAATTATCACCATTCAGATAATCTTATCTATATTAGCAAGTGTTAGCAGAGATGACATCTACATTAGAGCTACTATTCAGACGCACTTCTTCAGTAGTGCAACTAAGCACTAATTAGTATACTTGGTACTAGTTATAACTACTCTTCACTATCACTTTTTCTATAGTGTCATATAGTGCCAACATAATACTACTATAGCACTACTGCAAATGTGGTCCTCTAATTTTCGCTATTTTGCACTACTGTAGTACTATTTTGCACTATTTTAGCACTACTCATCCAGGGAAGACTCAAATAAGATGACAATCCTTTATTTATAGCTCATAGTTCTGAACTCAAGCATTACACACCTCTATAGCTGCAAAATCACCATGATAGCTGATTTATATTGGAGGACACAACTCAACATAGAACTTGTCATCATGTATAGGACTAGGCTGTCAGCACAGCATTCATACCATGAAGCATACTCTATAGCACACTCCATATTATATACATAGTCCCAGACATTACACATATGCAAGCCTCAGCAGGTGAATCTCAAGGTGAGGTGTCACCACTTTGCCCAAGTCCAGCAATAATGGATATATATAGTACTTGTGGAGATGATCTATGTAAGCTCTGGTGGTGCAGTGGTATAGAGCACCCCTTCGGAATACCAGTGTTATCTGAAAGTGTGGTTGGGGGTTCAAGACTGGGTGAGGACACTTTTTTATAATATTTTTTCCAGCACTTTGAATGCATCCGGGGCTTATAAACAGATGGTTTTGAGGTCATATTAAGCATTTCTACACTAGGCAGAAATATGGACCCACTCTATCCACTACTATCAATGTCTACTGTAGCACTATTTCCGTCTACTATAGTGCTACTTTGCACGAATTTGCATTAATAGCGCAAAATAGTGCAATTATTTTTGGGGACCTCTCGTTTTTGCACTATTTTTCACTATTCAACTACTGTGTCTATTAAGAGCTAATTTGTACTAAATAGGTGTAATTCGCAAAGGTGGTTTTTACAGATGTACAGCTAAGCGCTAGAAGACGCATAGCCTCGTGTAGTCCGGACCGGATAAGTCCAAGTTCAACAAGGACGCACTCGTAAGCTATGAAACACTTCGCAGCCGCTAAGGCGTGCTTACTTGTAGAAATGACTGGTCGCGATAGCTAGACCACACTTTCGCACCTAGGCCAATTCGGTCAACTCACGACTCCCGATGCACAAACATCCGGTCCATGCACGACAGTTTCGACCGACCCAGCGCGCGCACTTCTTGACAGACACCCGAATTCGCGCAAGCGTCCGGGATGTCTGCCAGTGGCAGCGTGCGCCGAGACGCGACCGTCCATTCCGTCCCGATTCTGCACGCATGCGCGTGCTCCTGTCTGCGTCTACAGGGCCACTGCAGTGTCAGACGCACCCCGCTGGTATAGTACGGCTGTTTTCGTCGCAGGACAATCGCTCGTTGTGCCCCCCGTGCATGGTGCTGTGGTACGACACCCTGAGCACGTACGCACAAAGCGGACAACCGCCCGCCGCTCGGCGGCCGTGCCCGTCGAAAACAGCTGTCGCGCCATCGCGTCTTTTCCGTGTGTGCGCGCAAACGGCGACGAGACGAGACAAGTCGTAGGACTCACCTGGACGACCGCGACGGCCGCAGGGCGCGAGCGCGTGCAAGAGACACGGGGCCCCGGGCCCGCCGGCGGTGGACTTTGCACCTCTTGGGCACCGTGCTCAGAATGCATCTGAACGACGGTGGGTCACCGCGTAGGATGCATCAGCTTTGCTCGTGTGCGAGGGGTGAAAGAGCAAGGCGGGGAAGAGAGGGTAACGCACAGATACGGTCGCGCACGCTCCTGGCTGAGCCGTTTGCACACGTCAGTCTCGGACGACGGACGACGGAGGTGAGCGAATACGAGTACTATCTCGTAGTGCCCAGGACGGTTGGGACGCGTGGTGGGATGGATATGGCGCGGACAAGCTTGTTTGTTGGGGGAGGTGGGAGCTGAGGTTCGCGCTTGGGGTGCCTCGGTGGAGCGGATGGATGCTAGGCGTGTAGAAGCGCAGGGATAGAGAGGTGACGGAGGCAAGCGAGGATTGGGTGGACGTCGGCGTGGGCTTGGGCAGGGACGTGCGAGAGTGAGGGACGTGCGAGAGCGAGGGACGTGCGAGAGCGAGGGACGTGCGAGAGCGAGGGACGTGCGAGAGCGAGCGCTGGGGGCCGCGACTGACAGCGGGGATAGCAGGCGAGATCAGGCGAACGCGGGGGACGCAGCGTCGAACGTGGGGCAAGCAGCATTCCAAACGACTGCGGCTGCATATGGGCCTGCAGCTGTGTCGTCTCGCGTGTGAGGACCTCGCAGCTCAAATGAGGTCAGTGCCTTGAAGTGCTCATACTATGCTGAGTACACACCATCGTTGCTGATTCTGTTCTGGCGCTTATACAGGTACCTCACCGACGTCGGCCAATTGCAAGGGGAAGACTCAATGTTCGCTGAAGCAACGTTCGAATTACAGCGGTTTGCATATCGATAGGCCCGATATGCAAATGGCTGTACTGTCATCTAAACCTAGCCATGGACATTCCGCAGCCTCGCTCCTGGCGCCGTTCCCCTCCGTCCTCTCCCGACCAGTGCGATCATCCTATGCAGCAAAACTTCCTGCAAGACATGTCAATGGTCTGAACATGGTTATGAACTCCAAACCTCCATAAACCACTCCAGTCCATGTCGAAGTACATTCTGAATATTACATTTTCGATCGAGTTGAGCTCGCTTAGATGAGAGTCGTTTGTTCAGAAAACTTGATCGGACAAAATCTCTGAGCGCTACCGTTATGTAAGCAGAACATCATCTATATAGTGGGTGCTGCCTATCCCCATTCCCATCAGCAAAAGTGTAAAAATCTTTTGCCGTGTTGCCCGTTCAGGCAATACTCAGCGAGAGCGCGCAATATACGTCAGATCATGCGCTGTCATGGGTGGTCTTGCAATGTCGTAAATATATTGCAAGACCTTGCAATATCCTACAAGACCAGGCAATATCGGCAATACCGGGCAATATTTCGCATTATTGCAGGTATTGCGAGGTATTGCCGGTATTGCGCGCTCTCGGAATACATTTCCGGTATTGCAAGACCATGCCACAAATGGCGCTTCAGGCAATGTCCGCAATCCTGTAGGATATTTTTACACTTTTGCTGATGCCTATTCCGTGCTGGAGGAACGTGTTTGCCTCAATCCGAACTTGCCCAATATGGGGGCGATCACGCGGCGGATGGACGAGTTCACCGCAGGAGTCTGGGAGGATGCCATATATCGCGGACAAGTATGCGTTGCGTATGTACTCTCACGACGGGCATTGGCCAATGTCCTGGACCCAAACTGGGACAGAGAAATGGCCTGGGAATGGATGCCTGTCACAGGTCATGTCCCAATGCCTAGCTCCGGACCCGAGCCAGCGGGCGCTCTGATACCATAAAGAGAATATTGGCGCTCGAGACTGTCCAACAAGGGTATATACGCTTATGTCATTGGCTTTGTCAGCCTTAGTATTTCCCTTCAGGGATTTTAGCGCCGGATGGCTCAGGTCCGGAGCTAGGCATTGGGACATAACCTGTGACAGGCATCCATTCCCAGGCCATTTCTCTGTCCCAGGTTGGGTCCGGGGCATTGGCCAATGCCCGTCGTGTCTGGAAAACACGATGTCTCTCCATGCGGTGTGTGTCTTGTTACGTGCCTTCCTCTCCTCGTCCAGTTCTCCGCCTAGCGAATGTCAGGAGTCTGGGCAGGGAGAGCTTCCCACGGTCCTAAGAGGGCCGCTCAATTCTTGAGGATAGTGTTGCCGCCAAGCCAGCTAAGCTAAGCCAAGCTGACGAGCTGGATTGAGCTGGATCATCAAGCTGGAGCAAGCCAAGCTGAGATCAAGCTAGCTGGGCGCCAGCTTCCTGGCTGAGACCCAGCCACAGCTTGGCTTGCCAGCTGAGCCACCAAATATGGTAACAGGTCGCTCGTTCACAAAGACATTGTGGTATATACAACGTAACTTATGTACATGAGGCAATTTTGTGCAGCTAGTGGAGAGGATAACATATGAAGATTCTGTTAAGGTCCTTTAGACACGGAATGGCAATGTTCAGTGGTGCTGGTAGGCGGAGAGTTCTTGAAGGGTCAACTGCTCAATTTGGGAAATAAGGTCTCCAGTGAAGTCTAGCCGATAGGCGTGTCTCCACCACCTTGAAAACAAGAGCAGGCTTCAACGAGGAAGCAATGGGCTTGTCACGGACGTTGGACAGACGCCCCTTTTTGCCGCCCATTCCCCTCCCCTTGACGCCCACCTTCCATTTTCGGACCATTTCCTTTCTTAGCCCATCCCAGTTTGGACACTGCAGATACGTTCCCACACCCGCATGCTACGTTCCCGTGATCACCATGCCTTTGCCTTTTCCTTCCCGCCCTTTGTTCTCCCTTTGTCATCTTCACTGCCTCGCTCTCGCGCCTTGTCTTTGGTTGCTAAGCAGCCCTTCTAGTATATAAGGACCCCCTTAGGCACTCCCTAGTCCCCATCTCGACCTCTTGGTCATT